GATTCCCCCTTGGTCACCGGGCTGTGGAGTGGCAGAGCTGGAACTGACCTGGGCCGGGCCTCACCCCTGCCTCCCACAGGGAGGTCTTGCCCCAACACAAAACCTGTCACCTGCTGCTTGTGGACACTGAATTCTCCTCGTTTCTCTCTGGGTGGGAAATTGCAAGTATCCTCATTTTTCCTTCTCACATGGAACCCAAGTTCTGTTCATTTATTCATTAACAAGGACAAAGGCAAACTTGCTGAAATTGTGCTTCAGGACCCAAAGTTCCTGATGGCACCGTCTCCCAGGAAACATCTGGGCGGAGGAGGCATTTTAGGGTGCCATGAAACTTGGAGAAGGAAGGGGTTGTGATGCGCAGGAATCAGGGTGCCCTGGGTTGGGAGGAAGGACGTGGGTAACAAGTCCTCTGGGTGGGAGAGTGGGGTCCCCAGGCAAAGGGATGAGAGCTCGCTTTGCCACCTCCGTGACCCCCTCGCCCTCTGTGGTGGGAGTTGGGAGAAGGGTGTCTGTCCCAGGCCCTGGCAACCCCTGGCAAAAACAGGTCATTGTCACAAGATGGCAAAGTGGACTAGGTGAACTGAGGCAACTTGGCCCTTTGGCCTCTGGCCAAACAGACATCTCCACTGACACTGGCAGCTTCTGCAGAAGCGACCTGGGAGGGCCGGGGAAGGAGAGGGGCAAGGCTTCCCCCTCTGCCTTGGTCAGCTCAGGCTGCCCTAACAAAATAACCACAGACTGGGAGGCTTAAGCAACAGACCTTTATTTTCTCAAGTTCTGCAGGTTGGAAGCCTGAGATCAGGGTGTCGGGTGGCCAGGTTCTAGTGAGGGCCCTCCTGGCTGTCAGGCAGATTGTCCTTATGTCCTCACGTGGCAGGGGGAGGGAGCACAAGCTCTCAGGTGTTCCGTCTTCTAAGGGCACTGACTGCATCATGGGGCTCTGCCTCATCTAAACCTAAGGGCCTCCTGGAGGTCCCGCCTCCAAATAGCATCACACTGCTGGCTGGGACTTCAACCTGTGAATTTACGGAGACAAAATTCCATCCGTAGCACTCTCCCTGGTGGCGAGTGAGGCGGTGAGGTGAGCCACCCCAGGGCCCGTGGAAGTGTGGCCAGGCCTGGTCCTGGACTGATCCCGGTGGGCCTGGGGCTGTGGGTGGTCAGCAGATGGAAGGAGCTGCCCAGAGTGCTGTGATCGCAACCACTGAGCCTGGGAGTCCCGGCCAGGCTGGAGCTTCACCATCCCCCGCCCATGACATCTAACCTCTGACCTCACAGGGTTGTGGTGCTGTCCCCCTCTGAGGCCTGTGTCAGGGCCCCTGCTTGCTGAGTGCCCACTGGGTTCCAGGCATGTCACATACGTCCCTCTTCTAACCCGCAGCAACCCTGTAAGGCCGGTGCTGTCTCTACTTCGCTATTAGGGAAACTGAGGCAGAGTCAAGCTCCCACAACTACTAGTAAGGGGACAGAGTGAGACTTTGAACCAGACACCCTCCCTCCAGTGCCTGCTCTGCCACCACTCAGGGTCCTGGAGCCTGCCGAGGAGTCGGAGGGTGGGGCCTGGCTCCTGGGAGCAAGGGCCAGAGAGTGATCTCTGCTGCCACCTGTGTGTGGCAGGTGGACAGCCACACCTGCTGGAGGGTGGCCTTGTTGCTGTGGGTAGGTGGGGTAGGGAGCACATGAAGGTGACCTCGTGGAACAGAGAGGCGAGTGGGCCTTGTCTCCGAGGGGCTTCTTGGCTGCTCTGTGGATAAGGCAGCTGCATCCCTGCTGTGTCTGCTCCTGGGGAGAGCTGTCTCCCCTCACTGCCCCTCTGCCTGCGGCCCCCTCCTCCTCCTCTGACCTTGGCCACCAGCCCCCTCCCCACCCCAGAGGTAATGTCCCGTTCGCACACCCCAGACTGTCCGAGATCCATCAGGTTCTAACTTGGCCCCTTGGGACTGTTGAAAACAAAGTGACCTGAGTCTGAAGCTTGCTGCTCGAAGTGTGGGCGGGGGACCGGCAGTGTGGGCTCCCCGGGAGCGTGATGGAAACGCAGCCGCCCAGGCCCACCGAGTCTCATCCCAGGCGACTTGTGCGCACGGCAGCATTTGAGAAGCACCATTCCTAACGGTGTTAGGGGCCTCGTCTGGGGCAGGCAGACCCCATCTAGTGACCCCAGAGAATGGGAGGGACCCCCTGGCCCCTTCAGGGGCTCCTGGGTGGGAATTCTGTCGTGAACTCCTGACACCCGAGAGCCCTGTGGCTGGGATGCTGCTCTGAGACCACTTTTCAGGGCGGTAAAGATAGCAGATCCCGATCGCCAAGGTGATTCGCCTTAAAATGCCAGAAGCTGTGAGTTGCCCATCTGGAGGGTAGAGCTGCAAACACCATCAGCAGCGGGACCCCCGACATCCCACGTTGCCTGTGTGCGGCTGGTCCTGCCCACCCGGGAAGCTGCCCGGCACCGGTCTGCGGGAGCAAGGCCGTGGAGAGCACGTGCACCGCAGGCCTCCCCGCCGGTGGGCGCTGGCAGTGTCATGGGAGGGGCCTCCAAGGGAGGCCGGAACCCACCCATGGTGGAGTGTGCAGTGCGCCACCCTGCAGGGGCAATGGCAAATGCCTTCGTAAGATTGTCCGATGGCATGTAGCTGCCAAGGGCATGGACTCTTGGATCTGGATTTGAATGCTGCCCTGACCTGGTCAAGACTCAGCCTCTCCAAGCCCGGCCTTGCTCTGAGAGGTGGGGGTGGCGGGAGTGCCGGAGGACGGAATGAGGTGAGGCCGCACCACCGCCTGCAGACTGTGCCTGGGATGGATAAGTTAGCTGTGACTTCACAGTCCATGCTGTCCTCAGAGGCCCCATGGCTCTTGCTCACGTTGCAGTGAGTCCCGTCGTAAGGGGACAGGCAGAGTCCTTTCTCCCTTGGTAGCGGCGAGGGCGGGAGGTGGACCCGAGCCTGGGCACAGCCACCACTTAGCAGGAGGCCTGTGTCCCTTCCTGGTGATTTTCTCTGATGTCCGTCCGCATCTGCATAATTCTGAGAAGGCGGAAGTGGGGATTAATGAGGCTGCCGGGCCAGACGTGAAGGGTTGGTAGCCGCACCGGCCGGTTCCGGGGTGCTGTGTCCCTCCGAGGTGCTTGTTCTGCACAGCAGCCCCGCCCCACACTCACCCCTCTCCCCGCATCTCCACCTCGAGGGGCTTTACTCGGGGGGCTGCCTCCTCCCACGCGGGCCACGCTCACATTTCACAGCCCAGGTAGGTTGGGCCCTTGGGCATCTCCACAGCGTGGGGAGACGTGCAGACAGCAGGGCACGAGGGTCTTCTAGCCGCCCTGCAAGGAGCACACCTCTGTGGGAGGAACCCGGGCGGGGGTCTCACCGCTGCTCCCCACTTCCCACAGGCGCCCCCTGACTGTTGCTTACTGACCTGACTCTTTAAGTCAGCATGCTGCCTCCGTTTAAATAAAACTGATAAAATGGAAAATCTGTAGCTCTTTCATTAAATGTTTTTTCCCTAATGTACTTTTAAATAGAAATATGAATTCTCAAATTTAAAAATGTTCATTCAGATACCACTTGAAATGACCTTGTTTACCGGCAGTGTGAACGAACACAGGCCACATTAGGGGAAAAGCCTGACTTTCGGGATGAGCTCTGGCTCCCCGGTGCTCAGGTGTGTGACCCGGGCAGGTGACTTGCAGGAGAACGGTGCCCACCCACCTGCAGACACGGGAGGTAACGCCATCACCCGGACGCAGACCGCGCGGTGCAGACGGGGCGCACGCAGGCGGCTGCCGGGGTGGGTGTGTGCTCTCGAGTCCTCTCCTCAGCCGCCCTCAGACACTAATATTTCTCTTACTGGTTTTATACGCAACTTGATTTTATCGATAAAACCAGCACCAGAGAAGCAAACTGACTTTTCCAAGGTCCCAAGCCAAGTTAGTGGCCCAGACGGAAGTGGCCGGAGCTACGGGCTCCTTCCGCTCTGAAGACCACCCAACAGGCCCCTTTCTCCTGGAACCTGTGTAGAAACTTCTCTCCTGCTGCAGGTCTGCGTGCCTGGCCAATTGTGGCTATCATGGGCTGTGCAGAAGCATCCAGAAGGCCAGAAAAGGGCAGGTTCCGTGTGTCCGTGTACGAGATTCAGTGGTATTAAAGCCACGGTTCTCAGGCGTGGTCATTTTGGCTAATGACCACTAAGGTCTCAAACCTTGTGAGTGACTTTGTGTTAAGAAAGAGGAACTAGGGCAAATCCAAGTTTACCACTCTCAGTCGCTTCCTGACTGGCTTTCCTGAGCAGGATAGAGAGGATGGAGCTACACTGCCCACGCGGGAAGCCAGGTCTCTGTGACGAGGCTAATCTAATTGTCACACCCGGCAACATTCACACATTTCACACATTCTGGCTGTGTGCTAGCGCCTTCCGTGTGATAAGTCATTTAACACTCTCAGTGACCTCACACGGTAGGTCACATTGTCTCCCATCTTCCAGATGAGTATGAGGCACAGAGAAGTTAAGTAGTTTGCCCAAGGTCACACAGTGGCAGAGCTGGGGACATGTATTTAATAGTGGGGCTTAATTCCCTGCCAAATTTCTGTTGCTTTTGCCAAAATTCTTAGAGATAGTCGTGAAAGTGTAAATAAATGTCAACAGCCCAAGGGTGGCCTGTCAGCTCCCTAGTCCTGCTGCCCAGAAACAGTGGCCACTCCTCTCCTTAGCAGACTGGGCACTGTGGGAGGGGCCCTGTGGGCCTTTGCAGCATGCTGGTGTGCTTGCCTGGCCACGTGGGGCCACAATGGGCTGTGCAGAAGAATCCAGAAAGCCAGATGGGGCAGGTTCCACCTGCAGGAAATTCTTCCCCTTTTTCATCATCTCTGCAGACATGTGGTGTGGGGGACGCTGTCCCAGATGAGATGTCCTTGTGTGTCCCTGACACACACCTGTTCCCCTCGCCCACGGAGGGTGGCAGAGGCCGGGGTCGCTGGGCCCTGACACGTCTGTTTCTTTCTCCGCAGCCACCTCCCCGTGCAAGATCCTCAAGTGCAACTCTGAGTTCTGGAGCGCCACGTCGGGCAGCCACGCCCCAGCCTCGGACGACGCCCCCGAGTTCTGCGCTGCCCTGCGCACCTACGCCCTGTGCACGCGGCGGACGGCGCGCACCTGCCGGGGCGACCTGGCCTACCACTCGGCCGTCCATGGCATAGAGGACCTCATGAGCCAGCACAACTGCTCCAAGGATGGCCCCACCTCGCAGCCGCGCCTGCGCGTGCTCCCGCCGGCCGGGGACAGCCAGGAGCGCTCGGACAGCCCCGAGATCTGCCATTATGAGAAGAGCTTCCATAAGCACTCAGCCGCCCCCAACTACACACACTGTGGCCTCTTCGGGGACCCGCACCTCAGGACTTTCACAGACCGCTTCCAGACCTGCAAGGTGCAGGGCGCCTGGCCGCTCATCGACAATAATTACCTGAACGTGCAGGTCACCAACACACCTGTGCTGCCCGGCTCAGCCGCCACCGCCACCAGCAAGGTAAGTGGGAGGGGAGGCTGCAGGGCACAGCCCTGCCCTTTGTCTCTTTGCCCCACATGGGCACTGAGCGGCAGAGAGGGCCTGGCTGTCTGGGGATGGGGGCAGAGGGAGCGGAGTGAGGACACACAAGCGTCTTCACTGAGCACCCCTAGGGGACAGCTGGGAGGCCTCCTTCCTCGGGCCAGCCCTACCTAGCCGGCATAGCTCCACTTGACAGACCCAGAGCCTGAGACTCCAGAGTGACCTCCCCACCCAAAATGCTGGGACACCGAGCAAGGATTTGACCTGGGCCCAGGTGACTCCAGAGCCCGGCATGTTCTTAACGGCCCATGAGGCCACTGAGGGCCACTCATTTTCTGACCCAAGGAGGCCTCAGTGTCTGGGCAGCAGGACTCAAATCCTGTTCACAGGGCCACAGCCGAGGCAGCCACGTACACAGCCAGTCACCCAGGCAAGGGGACACTCCTGTCCACCCAGATTCTCCCTCCCCTATCCACTATGGGGAGGGTTCCGTGACTTCATATTCAGACTCAGCCAGAGGGCAGGGCCTTGGCTGGGAGGGGGCTGGTGGCTCTCGGAGTCCAGCAGTGGGGACCCGTCTGCCCTCTGCAGTGCCCAGACTCCCAGTCCCCTCCCAGGGGCTCCGGGCGGCAGTGAGTCTGTGTTCCTAGGAAGGGCCCATCAGAAGGCTGCCTGTTGGGCAGTGCCAGGCTGGCCCACGAGGGCATTTCTCTGTTCCTCCCGCCCCTCCACTCCCCAGAGGAGGACAGTGAGGTGACCTGGCAGCCAGGGAAATCCTGCATCCCCACCACCTTCCTCTGCTCCTGCGGTCCTTGCCTGTCCTGGGGGTCTCTTTCTGGGCCCTTGGCTGGGAAGGAAACAAGTACATCTTCACCCCATGGATGCCCAGCAGGCCCTCGGCACCAGGCCGTGACGCCTGATGGGCAGAGGACTTGCAGTCAGCGCACTGTCCCCTGTCCCCTCCCAGGCCTCTGCAGACTCGGAGGTGCCCACCTCCAGATCCCAGCCCCCTCCCCCGTGGTCCCTCCACCTTCCACCATCCTCCCTCCCTGCAGCCAAGATAAATGAGTGCCAGAAGCCCAAGGCTGCACCTTCTAAGTCCAGCCACCAACATACTGTGGAGGGGACCTGGTCTCCCTGTCCCACCCTGCAGGCTCCTGAGGGCTGGCGGGGGTGCACGAGGAGGTCAGAGGGCGTGAGAGGGACGTGGACCACAGGCGGCCTGTTCCTCCTGACCCAGGATGGTGTAAGCACCGAATGTGGCAACATTGTGGTTTGTGACTGGGGAGCTGGGCTGCTGCGCCACCACCCGGGGTGACAGGGTGTAGGAGGAGCCCTCAGGCGGGCTGCAGGCGCGGGCAGCGTGCCTGGGCTCAACACCTGCACCCCACCCTCAGCTCCCGGCTGAGGCACGCTGGGACCTCGAGCACAGTGATGCTGTCCACAAGCCAAATGGATTGATCATTCATTCATTCTTCACTTGACCCACCTTTTTCAAACGCCTGCTCTAATCTGTGACGCTGGGCTCTGGACAGCAGAACTGCCTGAGCAGAGAGAGGGGATCTCCCTTCCCATCCCAGTGTAGAGTTTTCCAGAAAGGTGTGAGGCTGTGTAGCATTGTGTCACCAGCCCAGCCCCTTCCACTGCAACCAAGAGCTACCTTTGGTCTCGACAGGCTGAGAGCTCAGCGGCTCCATCAGCCAGGCCCTGCTCAAGGCCACACCGTGACAGTGTCAGTGTCTGTGGCCAGGCCAGCCTCAGAGCTCAGGCCAGACTGGGGGCCTTGTGGTCCTCGGGTGAGAAACGTCGGTGGCTGGTTTCAGGCACCCTCGACCCACCTTGCCTGTCTTTTAGGCCTCCGTTACTGGAGTGTGTTCGTTCACTCATCGATTCAACAAACTCGCCAGGCACGTCTCAGGTGCCGGCCTCTGAACCAGGTGTCGCCCTCCCTCCCGGCAGCTCCCAGGCCGATGGAGAACCAAGGCAGAGGGTAGCTGGTGAGGGGTGCTGGGGGCGCAGGAGGCTGAGGGACCCTGTGGGCCTGGCTCTGTCCAGAGCTCTGGGGAGGCTTCCACCCCTGTTGCTCTTGAAGCGCAGCTGGAGTCCCCAGGTGGGAGAGGCGACGGGGGCACAGCCTGGTGCCTGGAGGGAGCAGGGCAACCAAGGGGCTTCTATCTCCAAGGTGGGGAGGGCTCTGGCATTTGTGACACCCCCCCCACAAAAGCCCCCAGAGCCCTTGAGGCCTGCCAGACTCTTCCATGCCCTGGAACCCACTTCCCTTTGTCCTCTGCCAGCCTGCCGGACTCCGCCTGCCCACCTGCCCTAGACGGCCCCTCCCCAGCGGGCAGCCCCTCCCCAAACACCCCGGCGTCTCCCGCTCCCCCGACGCACAGGGTGCCTCACCAGGGACCTGTGCTCATCCCCTGTGGTGCTGGCGGCATCCAGCTTGGCCCATGCCCCTGTCCTCGTGGACAGCCAAGATCTAGCATATGCCAGCCCATGGGACAGCCTCCCGTGCCCCAGCTCTCTTCCCAGCTGTACTGGCCGGTCCACTTTACAGATAAAGAAACTGAGGCTCAGGGAGGACAGGAACTCGAGTCCTCTGCCTTCCTGGTCCTTTCCCGCATGTTAGCTCTCCCCGTAGCACTTAGCAGTGTGTCGCACTGCATAATTCATCTGCTTGGTCAGGGACTCCCCTGGAATGTGACAAACCCCACCCCCGAACACAGAGTCTCCCCCCTGGCGTGCCCCCCGTCCCGAGCACCGGCCAGGCACCTCACCGGTGCTCCCTAAGTAGTTGCCGGGGAAGCCCGGGCTCTGCCCCGTCCCGGCGTGGAGGAGAAGGCCCCGGCGCTTTGCAAGTGTGGGGGCAGCAAAGGCAGGAGAGGCGGCCGCGCCCCTGGCTGTGTTGGCAGCCGGCAGCCCGGCTTTCGACAGCCCCCTTCATGCCGTTACTTGTGGTTGAGTCCCTGGCGCCGGTGCCAAGAAGAGTCAAGCAGCCTGCCAGCCTTCCAGGAGGCTGTCTTCACAGGAGATGGCAGCTAGAGCGAAACCAGCCTTTCCCGTTCCAGGGAGACGGTGGCACTTGGAAAGCAGGACCCCACTCCCACCCCCCAGTGTCTGTGTGGCCCCGCACACCAGGCAGGCAGGGACAGCAGAGTCCCTCATCCCGTACCCCCCCACACCAATGGCAGGACCACCCACGGCACAGACCACCCTGGCTGGCCCACCTCAGCCCCTGCAGACAGCCTCCATGCCACCGTGGGCGAGGCCAGGCAAGCGTCGTGTGGAGGGAAGGGAGAAGCAGGAGGTTGGGCCGTGTGAAGTTGCCGTTGTCACGGGCCAGGGACGGTAAAGTAGTGGTGATTTCATGCGGTTCAAGGCCTAGGGCTCTATGCAGGGTGGATCGGCTACAGCCACCTTTGACATCCCGCGGCAGACCAGAAGTGCGCCGCCTCCTGGGACCAGGCGGGGACCTCCAGGGAAGGAGAGAGGGAAACCGAGTCCAGTGCTCAGGAGCTGTGCACGTGGGGTCCTCCCGGTGCAGCACTCTGCGGCTCCGGCGGGGCCTCTGCGGCCATGGCTTCGGAGCCCCAGCCCCTGAGACAGGCAGCGCCACTCACCCGCCAGGCACAGCAGTCACAGAGCTGGGGCCCGAGACCAACGAGCCCACGGAAAGACTTCCATTTCTTTTAAAGTCCTGCCGCAGCCTGCCCTGGCTGAGTTCTCTTGGCCTTGCCTTTCCGAGTAACAGGCAGGGAAGAGGGGTTTTCCTTCCTTGGAAGCCCTGGCCCAGGGTCTTCTCTCTGTTCTGGGGGCCCCAGGCCCCTGTGGCTGCCAGCACTACTCGCCTGGTCACCCCTAAGCTTTACGCTGGTGTGGGGGACCCTCAAAGCAGCAAGCGATGACAGATCATGGGACACCTCCAGCTGGCTCCCACCACCCCATTGGTTTGCTCAGCCTAGAACGTTCTGTGGCCACTGACCCCCTCTCCAATCTTCAGGCCTCTCCTCTTAGTTCCTGCCCTGGAGGCTCTTCTCTGTGTCACCCTCAGCCTCCCAGGCCCCAAGGACAGGACTCTTGCCAGCTGTGCCCCCAGCCGCCCTGGCATTGCAGCCAGACACACTTCTGGGCCTGTGACCTGCCCCAGACCCCACCTAGGGCTTTTCAGTGACTCTCCTGCCTGAGCTCAGGTCCTTCCACAGCCCCCTGCCTGCCCTCCCCGCGCAGAGCGACTTTGTTTTCCTCTTCGGTTTTTAGCCCTCATCATATGCCTGCTGTTAGGCCAGAATGTCCCTTAGTGCTTTTTGGTGTCGCCCTCTACCCTAAGAGCCCACCTGGCTGTCATCATGCCCCTCCAGCTGCCGTGTCTTCCTGGCATGCCCAGGCGGAGAATGGCCATACATGTCCCAGCAGCCCCCTGGCCTGGCCTGCCGAGGGGTGGGATGAGAGGACAAGGCCTGGGAATGGAGGCCTGGCCTGCGAGGGGCAGTGCAAGGGAACGGGGTGGACTTTGGCAGGGGGTCCCAAAAGGCCTGGGTGCCACCTTGCCCCCATCACTCCACCTCCCTCCCTGGCATCAAGCTGGGAGTCTCCAGGTTCCAGCTCCTATTGGTCCAGGGGGCAATGGCCTTAGAGGCACCCAGACTACCCTATGGCAAAGCAGCCAGTACCTGGCAGAGGTTGGAGGAAGGGGCGGTTGTTTCCCTCCCAATTTCCCTTATGTCTCCAGCCCATATGTCTTACTCAGGTTATGGAGGAAAGAGTAGCCAGACACCTCGCCCAGGATGGCAGAGGCAACACACTCTTGCTCCGCTGGCTGCTTTGTCTTGGGTCCTTCTTCTCCTAGGTCTCCCACCCTGTGTGGGCTTGTGGCCAAACAAACCCAAGGTCAGGAAACCCAGAGTCCAGTCCCAGCCTGCTGCTGGCTGTGTGGCATTGGGCAAGTCACTGCCTCTCTCTGTGCCTGCATTTCCGTGTCTGTAAAATTGGGGGTAATGTCACCCACCCTTGCTGTGCCACACAAGACTGGAGGTAATAAACGCAGAGCCTGGCCCACCAGATGCAGCCAGTGCAGCTGTGTCTGGTTCTCAAGAGGAGAATCAGTAGCCATCTGCTTCTCCAGCCCCTCACCCCGGCTGCAGGCTGCAGCAGAAACGGGCCTCCCTGCTCTGGCCCCGGCCAGCGCTGTGCATTCAGCCTGGAGCCTCCATCTCCCTGGTGCCAACCAACACCTTCCTCCTGTCCTAGCTCTTCCTGCTCCCCTTCTCCAAGGCCCAGCTTGGTGACCCCTTCCTTCAGCCTTGGGACAATGGCCTGTGCTCGCCTCTGCCTGCTTACATTGGTTTTCCTGCTCTTTCTTGGAGCATCAGTCTCCTCCACTCCACTTGCTCTTCTGTGCAGCCACTTGCTCGTGGTCCATTTTCAGGAGTCATGCTGCAAATTCTGTGTCACTGTGCAAGGTGATGTGAGTTTGTGGGCTGTATTAGTTTCCTATTGCTGCTGTAACAAATTTCATAAACCAAGTGGTTTAAACCAACAGAAATTTTTTCTCTTATTCTGGAGTGCAGAAGTCAAAAATGAGTCTCACCGGGCTAAAGTCAAGGTGTCACCAGGGCTGGTCCTTCTCGATGCTCCAGGAGAGAATCCATCACCTGTTCCAGCTCCTGCTGGTTGCCGGCATCCCTTGGCTTGTGGCCACACCACTGCAGTCTCTGTCTTTGTGGTCCCATCACCTTCTCCTCTGTCCTTGTAGTCAGATCTCCTTCTGCCTCCATCTTACAAGGGCACTTTGATTCCATTTAGGGCCCACCCAGATAATCCAGGATAATGTATCCCTCTCCATATCTTTAACCTAATTGCATCTGCAGAGGCCCTTTGCCATATAAGGGAACATTCACAGGTCACAGGGATCAGGGCCTGATACCTTTGAGGGCCACTATTCAGCCTACCACAGTGGACGGAATAATGACCTTTCATTTTAATTGTATATGCTAATTAATTATTTATGTATTTTTAGTTCACCTTTCTATATAGTAAATGAGCTGGTTTTGTACTTAGGGTATTAACCTAAAGTTTTTCTAAGTATTAGTAATTTTTTTAAGTAAAAAGGGAAAGTCGTTTTAAAGAGAAATGTTAAGTGCATAACAGTGTGGGTGGAACTGAGCTATCCGACATGGGGAAGGGAGGGTCTGGGGAACCCTGGGGGCTCCTCCGTGGCCCTCTGAGTCCAGAGCATCTTAAGCATAAGGCTGGGTCTTTCCCGCCTATGCCTGACCCACTCTCCTGCCCCCTTCCCCCGCAGCTCACCATCATCTTCAAGAACTTCCAGGAGTGCGTGGACCAGAAGGTGTACCAGGCAGAGATGGATGAGCTCCCAGCCGCCTTCGCCGACGGCTCTAAGAACGGTGGGGACAAGCACGGGGCCAACAGCCTGAAGATCACCGAGAAGGTGTCGGGCCAGCACGTGGAGATCCAGGCCAAGTACATCGGCACCACCATCGTGGTGCGCCAGGTGGGCCGCTACCTGACCTTCGCCGTCCGCATGCCCGAGGAGGTGGTCAACGCCGTGGAGGACCGGGACAGCCAGGGCCTCTACCTCTGCCTGCGGGGCTGCCCCCTCAACCAGCAGATCGACTTCCAGGCCTTCCGCACCAACGCCGAGGGCCCTGGCTCCCGCAGGCCGGCGGCCGCCAGCCCCTCGCCCACGGCCCCTGAGACCTTCCCGTACGAGACGGCCGTGGCCAAGTGCAAGGAGAAGCTGCCCGTGGAGGACCTGTACTACCAGGCCTGCGTCTTCGACCTCCTCACCACGGGCGACGTGAACTTCACGCTGGCGGCCTACTACGCCTTGGAGGACGTCAAGATGCTGCACTCCAACAAGGACAGACTCCATCTGTACGAGAGGACTCGGGAGCTGCCGGGCGGGGTGGCCGCTGCGGGGCTGCCCCCGGGCCCCCAGCCCCTCCTGGGCACCCTGGTGCTGCTGCTCGCCCTGCTCCCTGTGTTGTGGTAGGCGGCTGCCGCGGAGGATGTGGAGGGAGGCGTGAGCTCTGTCCCCAGCCTCTGGGCGGGCGCCTGCCCTTTGGCTTCTCTCCGGGGCCGCCAACAGGGTGCGGATCGCCCGGCGTTTTCTCTGTGGCCCAGCAGCCTCTGCAGCGCTCAGGAGCGGAGGCAGGAGTGGCCTCAGGGACTGTCCCCTCAGCCGCCTTGGGCTGTCTGCTGGCAAGGGCTCGGGCACGGGCCCTCCCTCTCCCTAGTGCACGTGACAAAGTTGTGGTGACTGGTGCCGTGATGTCTGTGACAGTAGAGCTGTGTGAGAGGGGGAGCAGCTCCCCTCGCCCCGCCCCCGCAGTGTGAATGTGCAAACAGCCCCTCAGGCTGAATCCCCCCTACCCCCCCGTGCCCCACCCTGCACCTCCCCAGAGAGACACTGGGACCCGTCTGAGTCAGCTCCTTCCACGCCCTTGCAATGCACTGAAACAGGCCCGGCTGACTGCTGCTCGCTGATTCCTGGGGCACCTGTGCCCGCCACACGCACACACACACTCCCACACGCGCATCCTCGCACACACTAAGCCAGCGGACGCCCCGACGGGGCCTCCTTAAGGGCGGGACACACCCAGGGCACGGCTCGGCATCTTCAGCAAATTGGTGCAACCTTCTGGCCAATAGATGGCGCCCTTCTGGTGCCTTCTCCCCCGTGGCCCCCATGGGCACGAGTGCAGGCACCTGCTGGGATGCCCTCCTCTGGCTCTGCACCCTGCTCCTTCCCCACTGCACTTAGAAAGTCGGAGTGTTTGTTCTAAAGGTCTGACAGAGAAGAGATCCCTTGACTTCTGTTCCTTCCCCTCCAGCAGATGTAAGAGCCCTGGGGCAGGGGACCCTGGGCCCCAGGGCGTGGGCAGGAGAGCCGGTGGATAGGGCCAGCTGGCCTGCCCTCATCCTCCGCCTTCTCCTCACCTCCCCGCAGCCCACCCATGCCTGGATTCTGGGGGAAGGAGCAGGGTCGTAGAAGGCCTCTCAGCCCCAGCACCCCTGGCAGGGTCTCCTCCTTCTAGTCCCTTCCCTAAGCACGGTGGCCACAGCCAGGAGAGACTTGCCGCTGGGGGCCCTGGCTCCCGCCTCGCTCAGCCCAGCGTGCCCGTCAAAGGAGCCCAGAACAGTCCTGCCTCTGCTGCTGTTCCAGAGACCCCAGGGGCCAGCACGGGGCTGGGCTGCACTCCCAGAGGTACAGCCAGGCCCCCAGGGCGTCCCGCTGGCAGCCCGGCACCGCCCCCACCCGTCAGCGTCCGCGCGGCTGCCCCTCTGCTGTTCCCCAGGGACCTCTCATACACTGGCCAGGAGGCTGCGGGACGTGTGTCTCCCCCTCCCCCCACGAGGTCCTTCTCCCTCTGCCAGAACCTCGGGGCGGTGGGAGGGGGCTCGCCCCGCCCTCCCTCTCCCTGCTGGTTTTTAGATGGTCCCTATGTCGGAAGTAAAAAGTGAAGCACTTTATTTTGGTTGTGTTTGATCACGTTCTGCTTGGAAGTGGGGACCCCTCACTTCGTCCATGTGTCTGCGACCTGTGTGGAGTGTCACCGCGTGTACATACTGTAAATTATTTATTAATGGCTAAATGCAAGTAAAGTTTGTTTTTTTTGTTTTGTTATTTTCTTTTAGACATCATGTTGGAGTTTGTTTTGCAAAGAGACTTTGGTTCCCTTGGCGGTTGGAGGGTTGACTTTGGGGTGGGTTTCCCCACAGTGTGTGTGTGCGTGTGTGCGTGTGTGTGCAAGTGTTGCGGGTTCATGGGGAAGATGCAGCAGTTTCACAACCACAGCCCATTGCTTCTGTAAAATTAGTTTTCTTCCTCTCGACGAGCTGTCTTTGGAGCTTGGCAGGTCCAGGTTGTCTTGTTCTGGTGACACTGGAACACGGTCATGGAGACAGGTGACCACATGGTGGGGGTACGTGACCTCTGCGTCGAGGTGGGGTGGGCTGGCCCGGAGATCTAGGACGACCCCACCTCAGCCACCCCCACCAGTCTGGGGCAGAGTGAAGGCGCTGCAGAGGGGCCGCTGTCCACTGCTGGCTGTGGTCACACTGCGTCCTCAGAAACTATCCATGAGCCAGAAATGAATTCAGGCCCATTTTACAGATGAAACAGTCACAGTGAGAGGAATTGACTTGCCTAGGGGTCCTCAGAAGGGTCAGGCCAAGATGTACACCTGAGTCTGTTTTGCCCTGAAGTCCCTGCACTTAGCACTAAATGTCATGAGGCAGCACATGGCCCTGGCAGCACAGTTAAGCCAGCTGCATCCTGGCTTCACCTAAGCTGTGTGGCCTTGGGTAAGTCACTTAACCTCTCTGAGCCTCCATTCTGTTCTCTGGAACTTGGGGAGAGCCTACCCCATAGGGTTGTGTGGAGATGCCAGAGTTCACTCCTGTGAGTTACTCGGGAAAGGGCCTGGCGCATGGTGCTTGTCCAGTGGGGAGGGGGGGAGGGGGGCGGGGGTTAGCCCAAAGCAAGAGTGATTGGGTGGATGGGGAGGGAAGAGGGCCATGCAGACCCCGGAAGCCTAGCAGGGAGGTAGCCAGGGGAGGCTTCCAAAGTGTGAGCATTTACACTAATCCCAGGCAAACAGGAAGGCAGGAGACACGAAGGGAGAACTTTCTAAAGCCCCACGCTCACAGAGGAACCGGGAGTCTGATTTGGAAGGACCAGGCTGGAAAGGACAGAACACACCCACACATCTTACCTAGTGGCCAGAGCTGTGGCGGTAGATAGGCCCTCACCCTCAGCGGGAAGTGGGATGAAAGAAAGAACTCCAGAGAAGGCAGCACAGAGAAGCAACGCTGTTGGCGCTGGGCTGGTGGAGACGATGGTTTACTGAGAAGCCAGGGCACAGAAGGGGAAAAAAATAGTCCTTTGCCATCAGATGAAAATGTTAAATGGCACTTGCCAGAAAATATTCTTGGTTTGGAATTGTTTCAGGACCCTAAATTTAACTGGCTGGAATTCTGTTCTGAGTATCATGCTACTAGTTGCTTTCATGAACATGGAAATTTGCATTTCATCCTGAATATGCAACACAGCATCTTGAGCTAAAAGATTTGCAGGAAGTGGCTTGGTGTTGCGGGGCAGGCACCGCCAGCTCTGCGGGGGTAGGCGGCCTGCAGGTAGGTGCATCAACACGTGGAGGTGGCGGCCTCTCCCGCCCTCCCCGCTCCGTCCCAACCTCCTGGTACGCGGTGAGAACTCTGGAGTTCCTGTTGGCAAACCAGAATTTGTAAGGATAGAAGACAGGAGAGAACGGGCTGTTAAAACTCACCGATGAGAGTCACTCCTAATAAAGGAGCAGACTGTGGGACGAAGATAATGACCAGAACGCTCGGGCAGAGACGCACATCAGAGCCAGGCGGGAGTCGAGTTCATCGGAGTCCCGCCAGCCAGCGGCGGGGCGCGGGAGGGGGGTGGCACCTGGGCTCAGGCTTCAGGCAGACTTGGCGTCAGAACTGGCTCTGCCCACCGCTAGCTGTGTGGTCTCCCTTGGATTTTTTGAGCCTTGGATTCCTTATTTGTAAAATGGAATTATGTGTGCCCAACCTCCCAAGGTCATTATGGAAGTCCAATGAGCTAAGGCTCATAAACTGCCTGCACGTGGCCCTGGCGCGGCGTGGAGAGGCTGCCCGTTCTCTGCAATTGCATGTTTGTATTTGTCTGTTCGATGACTCCATTTGTGTGTACCCAGCATTACGCTGGGGAAATACAGCAGTGACCCAAACAGACCACCTCGCATTCTGTCTGGGGAGACAAGTCAGTAAACAATGGTTACAAAACTCTATGTCCCATGGTGACAACCACCAAGAGAAGAAAAGGGAAGTGGCTCAAAGGTTCTAAGAGAGACATGCCTTCGATTGGGGGCGGGGAGGGACATTCACCTTTGCTAACATCAGGGGACCCTTTGACAAGCTCACCTGCATGAATTTGGGGAGCAAAGTCGTGCAAAGAGCTGGGGAGAGCCTTCTATGCAGAGAGAACGGAGCACCACGGCACCAGTGCAGCAGCAGCCTGGAGGGGGAGTTTTAGGGACAGCAAGAAACCAATGTTACTGGACAGCAGCGAGTGGACAGACAGGGGCCCACGCTGAGGCCACAGTGTGGCCAGGGCATGGCAGGCCTCTTCGGTGGGGGAGGACACGACGTTTTAGTCCAGTTGCCAGAGGAAGCCATTAGTGAGCTCTGAGCATGAGAAGGATGTGTCTGACTTGGGTCTTAAAGGATCCATTCCAGCTGCTCTTGGGGACCGTCAGGGGAGAGGGGGAAGTCAGGGGCTCCTGCACAAGGCCAGTCCGAGTCAGTGGCAGTGCAGAGTGATACGAAATCACATGTTTTGGGGTTTAATAGGAAGGTGGAGCTGACAGGGTTTGGGGAGAGAGAGAGCTTGAGAGGAGACCACAGTGTCCCCTCCAGGCGTGGGTCTGGGCACCTGGGGAAACAGTGGTGCCACGTACTACACTGGCAAGAATGCGGGAAGAGCAGGTTTGGGACACTGAAGTCAAAATTATTAGAAAAAGTATATGCAGCTTGTTTTTATTTTTTTTTTTTTTTTTTTTTTTTTGAGACAGAGTCTCACTCTTTTGCCCGGGCTAGAGTGAGTGCCGTGGCGTCATCCTAGCTCACAGCAACCTCACACTCCTGGGCTCAAGTGATCCTCCTGCCTCAGCCTCCCAAGTAGCTGGGACTACAGGCATGCGCCACCATGCCCGGCTAATTTTTTCTATATATTTTTAGCTGTCCGATTAATTTCTTTCTATTTTTAGTAGAGACGGGGTCTCGCTCTTGCTCAGGCTATCTCTAACTCCTGAGCTCAAACAATCCGCCCGCCTCGGCCGCCCAGAGTGCTAGGATTACAGGCGTGAGCCACCGCGCCCGGCCTTGTTTTAAATTTTTTAATTTAAGTAAGTGATGTAAACTTCCCAGAACAAATTTTTCGGGAGGACAGTGCTCGTGGAATAAACTTGCGAAATAAAGGGAAGTGTGTTATTTCCAGTTGAACGAGCCGCTTGCACGGCCGAGGCTGGTAGGGACACTGGCTTCTCCTGCCGTCCATCAGGAGTCTGAGACCCCTGAGGGCCGCGTTCCCGGGGAGACTCTCAGGAACTCGA